CTAACTTCCTGCGTACAGCAGCCTCGGCTCCCTCCAAGGTAGAAGCAACTGTTCCTGGAACTTTGTACCTCTGCTGTAACATTCAGTCCCCCTCCTAACGTGCCTATTTGTGTCCATCTTATTTCCTATAGCACAGTGGTTCTCAACCTGTGGGTCGCGACCCCTTTGGCGGTCGAACGACCCTTTCACAGGGGTCGCCTAAGACCATCCTGCATATCAGATATTTACATTACAATTCCTAACAGTAGCAACATTGCAGTTATGAAGTAGCAACGAAAATAATTTTATGGTTGGGTCACAATACGAGGAACTGTACTTAAAGGGCCAGAAGGTTGAGAGCCACTGCTCTAGCAGAATATAAAGTCCTTGAGGGCACTAATGGTGTCTTATTCACCTTGATATTACTCAGTGCACAGAAGAAATGCATGAGGGCAAGTTTCTTGCTCACAGCAGGTACTCAACACGTTTGTTGCATGAGGAGCACAGAGGTGTTACAAAAGGTGAAGTCTCGGGTATCTGGTACCAGAGCCCCTTGTTTGCTGCTCAGCTGAACAAGATCTGAGAGTTCGCTGCAATCAAAAGCAAATGCTGGCCTGTCTCCAGAGGGCATCTATCCCATCCTGGCTTCTACTTCAAAGTTCCCCCTAAGTCCCAGTCACAGGTCTCTTGATCTTTCCATGTTTGCTCATTAAAGTTAATTTGAAACATGAAAAGATTCAGGACTGAGTATTTCATTAAGGCCCAGTCTTCTTAATGCAGCAACTGCAGACGAAACGTCAAAACAGGGCAGAGGTTGCCGGCACAAGGCCAGTACCTGGAGCACCCCTTTAAGGCCCTGGCCTCTGTTCACAAATGACATCTGCTGTCAGCTTTGGGGTTGCTAAGAATATCAGCAGAAGTAGATTATGCCCCTTAGAGATATCATGTGTCTTCAAGGAGTTCCATGGCTCTCCCGGAAGCAACAATTTATGTGAAAACAGTCTTGTCTAGAGTCCTGGGTGTGGACTAAGATAATTGTTAACAATATCGGCTACCATTTCCTGAGTTTTCCCTGTATACTGAGGATTATGCTGTTTTTACCGGGGCTATCTCTTCTAATCCTCATAGTAACCCTCTGAGGTGATACTATTATTGATCCCATATTACTTATGAGGGAAATGGGGCTTAGAGATGTTCAGGCCACATACTGACCCACAGAATCTCAGGAAGGTAAACTCATAATGATAAATGGGGCTCAATCAACTTTTCCATCTCATGCTAACGGTCAAACACTTTCTAATTCATTCACATCCATGCTCCCCGCACTCTTGCCAATACTGACTGGTGAGGTCTTATAATTCTTTTGGTGCATGGACTTCCTCTCCCACCTCAGGTCTTGCACATCCTTGTCAAGGCTATTATTGGGATCTACTCTTGTTATGGATGTGGAGATAATAGGGGTGGCGGGAGTGAGTCCTACAAAGACTGGTGGTGACAGAACTCTCCCAGGTGCAGTTATTGAAAGGTATTTCTATAGAGGAAGACTTTTCTCTCAGCTGGGGAGAGGGGTTTCTTCTGTCAGAAAGGGAGGTTCTATGGAACTGGGGAGTTCAGAGTTCTCAGCCTCACCTGTTTCCCCATCCCAAATCTCAGGGTCCCACTCCTCCCACAAGTGCCCCTGTCTTAGCATTAGAGACTGGGGGTGGGGGTGGGGGGAAAGCATTTAATTAGTCCTGTCTCTCTACAATCCATACAAGACAGCGCTGGATTCTTAGCCATGTCTGTCTGTCCTGCAACAAAAAGAAATGAAAGATTCCTTTACAGTTGGTATAAAAGCTTTTGAAAAACCTTCCCTGAGTTACTGGCAGTCCAGGACATATCTGGGGACGTTTCTCACTAACACTGAATCTCCCCCAGGAACAACTCCTGTCATTGAAAGCTTCTAAAATACAATCTACATGTCACTCGGCATGACATTCTCTAATTCGAAATAATTCTCCAATTACCATACATTCCTATATTTCATGTGTGTGTCTGCATGTATACACTATGCTTTTAACTATATTGTAAGCTTTGTGGGGACAAGATTATCTCAGTATTTAGTAAATTCATGTTTACTAAATTCCTGAAGACCTTCTTGCTCATTCTAACATTTGATTCCAGACAATGGGCAGTGGCTGTGCCTGGGGACCCTTAAGAATGTGGGGAGGCAGGTGGGGGAGGGGGGTCTGCGGGAGCCTCACTGTGGAGCAGCTAGGCCATGAAGGACCTCCATGGGCTCCCGTGATCAAACTGAGTTTTCCTTAGGAAATAGCTTCCCGGGCACTTGGTGCCCACAGACTCAGGACTGTCTGCCAGCTCTGCTAATCATTCACCCCCTTTGGCTTTCTTCTTGGCTACTTGTGGGCAGTGCCTGGTTTGGGGTGGGTGATTTCTACCTTCAAAATTGAGGTCAGGAGGTTCATGTTTCAATGAGCAACATGTAGTGTTGGTGTGTGGCCAAGGTGGGGGCCTGAGCATCCTGGATGGGACCTTAAGCGGGGCTACTTGTCCCCATCTGTGCCATTTTCAACTTCGCATCACTGTTGGATCAGCACTGCTGTTCTCTCTCCTCCTCTGGCCATTGGCTCACAGATGCCAGGAATAGTCAAAAGGTGGAGACAAAGGGGGTGGTCAGGAAGTGAATGCACTTCCCTCAATGTCCACTATGTCCCTTAGACCCACAGCTATGACATCTGGAAGTAACATAACTAGTGACTGAAAACAGCCACTTCTTTTTTTTTAAATCATTGGAAACATCAATGATGAGAGAGAATCATTGATTGGCTGCCTCCCACACACCCCCTACTGGGGATCAAGCCTGCAACCCGGGCATGTGCCCCTGACTGGAATCAAACCTAGGACCCTTCAGTCTGCAGGCCAATGCTCTATCCACTGAGCCAAACAGGCAAGGGCTACAGCCACTTGACACCTTCAGTGCGTTCTAGGTAGAACCGGGCTACTCAGAAACATGTGTGGGCTCTTTGTGGAGCAATGGACTTTGCTGCCCAGAGGCCACCTCCCCTCAGAGCAGCTCAGCAATTTCCCCGAACAAAGGCAAGAACCAAAGAGAGTCCCAGAGCTTTCTCCTCCACGGCCCACTCCATCACAGGGTTGTACTCACACTTCCCTTTGTACCTCCTCACCCTAAGCATTCAGCTCTTTGACGTTTTCTGGGCGTTTTGACCACTAGCTAAAAAGGGAAAATGGGGGGTACCAGAGTCACTCCTTTCTATGCAATAACCCCCACATTTTCCTCTCTTCCTCCTACTCTCCCCCTTTCTCGTTCTCCTCTTTCTTCTTCTCCACTCCCCGCTCTCTTTAGAGAACACAGGTGCCAAAGCTCTTTTCTCTAATAGAGAAATCGAAGCTCTGCTAATTAGGGGGAGATCTGGACTGGAATCCTGGTCTCTCAATTGCCAGTCATTATTTTTTCCATTTCAAACCATGCCTTCCGAAAGCTGAGGTTCTACAACAGAATGTTAACAGCAATTATCGTCGGGTTTGGAATTGCAAGTGCTTGTTTTTCTCTCTATATTTTTTTTTTATTTTTTTGCTTACGGATTTTTCCAAATTTTTCTGCAAAAGGCTATGTATTACTTTTGCAATAGCTTGGGTAAACTGGATGCTATAATAAACAAGTGTAAAAATTTCCATTGCTTAACCAAAAATGTTTATTACTTGACCATACATAATCCAAAATGAGTGTTCCTAAAAAGTGCATAGGCCTCCTAGAAGCAGCAATTCAGGAAACCTGTTCCTTCCACCTTGGAGCTCCTCTATTCTCAAGTGTGACTTTCAAATAAGCTGTAATGCTCTGTATAAAGCAAGAGGAAAGGAAAGAGTACACGAGGGACACTTTTATGGGGAGGCCAGAAAGTAATATATGTATATCACTTCCATTCACACTCCATTGGCTAGAACTCAGTTGCAAGGCTGCATGATCTGTAGGCAGAGTGGGAAATGTAGTTTATCAGTATACAAAAGAAGAAAAGGAAATGAATACAGTGAATGTGTAGTCAATCTATGCCACACCTTAAGGAAAAGAAAGTTGAAGTTAAAATGGAATAAGGAAGGCAAGTCCCTCTGTAAAGCTATCTTAAACTCTATCTCCCTTACAGCATTTTCACACTCAAATCCCCACTGTCCCACTGATAAGAAATGCCCTTCATCCTCAAGGGTATGAATAGATTGGTTTTTCTGATGTAAATGGGTGTAGAAAAGGGAGATGACTGGATAAGACTGAGGGCTCAGGCAGCGCTGTGACCTAGGGGTAAACCTCCTCCTCCTCACTGGGGGCACGATCAGCATATGGGTGTTGCCTCTCTACCCCACGGTACTGCTTTTCACTGTGAGGACAGATGATTATGAAGACGGTGTGATGTCACCATGGTTCATGTTGAGTAATGAATTTCCTCTCCCCTCAGCACAATGATGAGGCCCAGACAAACTCCTATTCCATGTACTTCCTGCAACAGATTCAGAACCATTTGTGTGCTCAGAGCATGCACCTTGTTCTCTACCATCCCCTCTAAATGAAAACCTCTTGCCTTAGATACAGTCTTAACAGATGTGTTACTATTTGTGAGTAACCCAGACTTCATCTGGATAATCAGGCCATGGGAGAGAGGGACAGCTGCGACCAGAAACATCTCAAAGGTCCAAACTCTGAGCTGATGAGAACACACATTCTCACAGGTGCATACCAGGAAATAGTCATGTCCCTTCTTTGGCAGAAGTCAGTTAGTTCCCAGTGTACTAGAATGGAATGGAACAATGAGACCCACCTCACCAAAAGTGTAGGCTTCTGTCCAGAACTTTCCATTCTGTCTGGGAAGAGTGGGCAGAGAGAGATAATAAAAGTAGGTAGACGCTAGCTCTTTATATACAGCCCAAAACTTGAGGGGGTCCTCAAAAGAGAGGAGGGCAGAGAGGTTCTGAGTTCTGCTCTTCGTTCCTGAATCGGAAAGATCAATAATTTCATGGGAAAGTTCAATGGTCATGTATACCCAGGGCTGTATCTTTTCTCTTATGGACTGTATCAGGCAGCAGTGGTCTTTAAGACCACCATAGTCAATGACTCTCTTCTGTATCCTTCATGTCCTCCCAGAAATAAGGGAATATGGGCCAGGCTGTGGGAAATATCCTACCAAGGTTTGTTGAAAATAGTGACCGGCTCTATCTTTACGATTTATGTGATCTTCTGTCTTGATGATGGAATGGTGTTGATGAACAGGGAAATGCCACCGAGATTTATGTACCCCAAAGAGTGGCAGCACCTCACCATGTTCATCCTCCTCACCCTCAATGGCTGTGTAGATGTCACGAGCAAGAACTTGCTGCCTCAGAGGTGTGTGCTCCTAGAAAAAGGTGCCCTGGTCCTGATCTTCTACGTGCTCCTGATACTGTTGGTGTCACATGTTCAAGATTCGACAGGGGTGGAGCTGCAGGTTCATTCTCTACTCATCTTGGTGGTGTTCCTGCTCATGCTGGTGTTCACTGTTGAGCTGTGGGCTCCCAACGCATTTCACCTCTCAATGATTGAGACCTTTCTGTTTCTGATGATGGGCTCCTGGCTGATGCAGGCAGGCTTTATTCTGTACAGACCAGTCACCGGCTACCCATGGCAGGATGATGACATCAGTGACATCATGTTTGTCACCACCTTCTTCTGCTGGCATGTGATGATCAATGCTTTGTGTCTACTGGGAACATATGGCATCTCTTCCTTTTGGCATCATTGTTACAGTCCCAGGTCGAAGCTGACAGGATCCAAAAAAGCTTCCATATTATACAAACACTGAAGGACCCGACTACCAATTGCTGCCAGAAGTGGAGCAGTCAGAGAAAGATGACCAGGCTCTTCTCCTCCCAGAAAGCTCACCCTGAAATACCTGGCACATTGTCCATCCCTACTTCCTCCTTGTAGGTTCTCTCAGACATGTACATTGTATCCTCTTTGGTCTCCAATGAAGGTAATGGCCATGGAGAGCATTTGGTCTCCATCTGCTGGTACATCTCCTGTCCTTGAACCTCAAATCATTGAGGAGATGAGGAGAGAGGGGGCTGAGAAAGGGATGCTGATGGGATTGCTGTGTTGGGGGAAGAGGACCATAGGGATAAATATGGGAAAAAGCTATAAGAGTTAAAGAATGCAATCCAAGATGGGCCTCTGAACGGAAGAGAGTGGAGTCCAGCAGTCACACCGGCACCAGCTGTTTCTCCAGGTTTTTACTTGTGGAATAAAGACTACTTTCTCACAAATCAAAATTGCAATTGTAGGTGTTTCTATTTGCCAACTAAAGCGAAACATTTATGGTATAATCCACTTCTCTCACCTGGTTACAGTAATAAGAACGTTATACATACATTTTAAAATTTGGATAGATCAGGATTGTTTCAAATTTTCCACATAAAGAATCAGTACTTTCATATCACAGTTTGTCAAATTCCCATAAACCAAATTTCCATTAAATGGTAGCACATTTCTTATTCTTGATTTCTAATCCAGCCAAAGCAAGACGTAGCTACTTGTTTAACTACCACCAGCCCTACCAGGAATTTACTAGATCCTACTTTGCTCTATCCTACACTTGCGCCTTTGCCAAAGGACACTCTGTGCAATTTGGAAAAAGCCATCGCCAGTCACATATTAACTATACAGTGTTACTTTATACCTGGCATTAAAACTTAACACTACTGCCACCAAGAATTATTTCTCCAGAAAATTCTCACATACTCTTTTGATCTGGAACTCTTCAGCACCTCATCTAAATCTGCCTTGTTATTTTTCCCATGCTGATGATACATTCTTTGTCCTGTTTCTCACATTGTCTCTCACAGGGAAGTTTTGCCTTACCCACTCAAGGCAGCCTCTTTAAGAGCAGAGATCTGTCATATCCTAGGCACCTCATTTGCTCAGCATGTTCCAGAGGAATATAATGTTGGCCTCTACATGTGAGGATTAAATTGCTTTACCAACTTACATAATACATTATAAATATTCTATAATTAAAGCTGTGGTATAGGAGCAAGCAAGTACCGCTGGACTGTCCATCAACATAGTATAATGTAATAGACGCTCTGGACACAGAAATATAGTGTGAGAATTAAATACAGCTAAGAAAGGGCTCCTCAATTAATGTGAGGAATAACTGACTCTCCATTTTGGGAGAAAAACCCTTAGTTTCTACCTCAGGCAACGCACAAGGAAAGAATTATAAATGGATTGAAAAGTTAAACATCAGCAATAAGACTATCAAATTATTTTAAAGGTAATACAGGAAGGTATTTTATAATAAAAGATATGAAACTTTCTTGAGCAAGACAAATTCTAAAAAGATTACCCATTTTAATGAGCTTTCCCATAATTAAAAGACACAAGAAAAAGAAAAAAGAAAAGGGACAGCCCTAGTCAGTTTGGCTCAATGGATAGAGCATTGGCCTGCAGACTGAAGAGTCCTGGGTTCCATTTCGGTCAAGGGCACATGCCCGGTGGCGGGCTCGGTCCCCAGTGGAGGGCATGCAGGAGGCAGCCGATCAGTGGTTCTCTCGCATCATTGATGTCTCTATCTCTCCCTCTCCCTTCTTCTCTGAAATCAGTAAAAATATATTAAAGAAAATAAAAGGGACACTGGGAAGGATATTTTTAACACATGTAACAGACAAAAAAAATCAGTATCCAGAATATATAGAGATATTCTAACACTGACAAACAAAATGCAATCTGATATAAAAATGGGCAGAAAATATGTGTCACCAAACCGGTTTGGCTCAGTGGATAGAGCCGTCGGCCTGCAGACTGAAAGGTCCCAGGTTCGATTCCGGTCAAGGGCATGTACCTTGGTTGCGGGCACATCCCCAGTAGGAGGTGTGCAGGAGGCAGCTGGTCGATGTTTCTCTCTCATTGATGTTTCTAACTCTCTATCCTTCTCCCTTCCTCTCTGTAAAAAATCAATAAAATATATTTTAAAAAAAGAAAATGTAAGTGTCCATCGCTCAGAAAAAGAACAATCTCTGCCTCCACCTTCACATTGTCTTCTTCTCTGTGTCTCGAGTCTCCCTCTGGCTTTCTCTTATAAAGCCACATGCCAATGGATATAGAACCTACCTTAAAGCCAAATGATCTCATCTCGAAATCCTTAACTTAATTATATCTGCAAAGACCCTTGTGCCAAATAAGATCACTTTCATAGGTTCCAGGGTTAAGACTTGGAAATATCTTTTTAGAGGCTACCACACTGTGCTTGCCCATACCAGGACCTTCTGTCCCATGTCCCTCGGAGCCTAAAGGCAGTTACAGCTCCATCTGTTACTCAACTATCCCTTGCGGTCACCTTACACCCAGCTCACATCTTTGTAAGAAGTACCCTTTTAAGCCCTCCTTGAACTATTCCAATTTAGGTTGCCATCTATTTCCTATTGGGACCCTCTCTGAGTCCCAATAGACACTAATAGAGTAATTGCAGAGACCAGAGCTTTAAACAGAACTCACCCCCCAGATACTTGGAGCAATGATAAGAGAAAAACTTTTTAACTGAATTTCACTAAAGTGAACCTACAGTGAAGGAGACTAATTTGTAAACAGGTAGATAATAAATTAAGGGGATCTTCCAAATTCAATGAAGATGATTAAAGGATTAATTCATTCATTAAAAAAGTCGTAAACAGCTACTTTTTTCCAGGTACTGTGTAGGGATTAGCAATACAATAATGAGAAAGACACAAATAGACATACACAATTATAGTGCAACTTATAGTAGTGAATGAAAAGGAAGATTAGATGGTGTGGTCAGCAGAATTCTAAGATGGTCCCCAAGACTCCTGCCCCTGGTGTACACACTCTGTATAATCCCTTCCTCTTGAGTATGAATGGGACCAGTGAATGTAATGGAATATCATTCCCATGGTTCGTTTATAATAGTTGAATTTATTTCGTTGTTGTTGTTATTGTTACTTTAATATATCTTTATTAAATAGATATGACTTATTGAGCACTTACTGTGTGCCAGGCTCTTTTAATGTTACTATTGACCCTCGTAATAATATTTTTGAGGCAGCTTATTTTTATTTAATAATAATAATTTATGCCCATTTTGCTGGAGACACTGAACCTCAGCAATACAAATATATAGTAAACTAGTTGAAAAACAAGACGATTTCTGAATCCAAGCTCTTTCCTCATATTATAATAAGTTGCATTTAAATTAGTGAAAAGGGAGATTGCCCTGGGTAGGTCTGACCTGGTCAGGTGAGGTCTTTACAAGAACGTGAGCCATCAGGGAGATGTAACCTTCTTAGCCTGAAGGAAAGCAAACAGCTGTGTCATGAACTTCCTATTGGGGGCAATATGGCAAGGAAATGCGAGCAAACTCTAGCTGCTGAGAGCAGTGCTTGACTCACAGGCAGCAAGAAAACAGAAGCTTGGGTCCTACAACTGCAAGGAGCTGCATTTTGCCAACATCCGGTGAGCTTGCAGTAGGATCTTGAGCCTCCGATGGGAATCCCAGCCCCAGCCATCACCTTGGTGAGATCTGAGCAGAGGACTCAGCCAACCCATACTGGATTCCTGGCCATGGAAACCATGAGATAATACATTTGTGTTGCTTGAGCTCCTATATTGAAGTTAATTTCTTATGCAGCAATAGAAAACTAATGCAGGTCGTATTCATTTTGGGTGAAGGTTTATCCAGCACAGGTTAGGGATGAGAAACACCACAGTTCATTAAAGATGTATGGCTCTGACCGGCTGGTGTGGCTCAGTGGTTGACCTCTGGACCAGGAGGTCACAGTTCGATTCTTGGTCAGGGCACATTCCCAGGTAGTCAGCTCAATCCCCAGAAAGCAGGGGCTGGGGGGGAGGGCGGGGGGGGGGAGAAGGCATGCAGGAGGCAGGTGATCAATGATTCTCTCTCGTCATTGATGTCACTGGAAGACTGTATCCAAAATGAAGCTGAGATTCTAATGAGAATGATGAGCTTCAGGCCCATCGAGTTCTTACGCTCTGTGTCTATAATCATAAGGTGGAATTTAGTTTCTTGGGCCCCCAAACAGTGGCTTGGACAGAGTACATGAGAATTCTAGATTGTGAGATACTGAAGGTAGAGGAGGAAGTTGGGTGGGAATAATAAACATAACCCTTTGGATGTCTGTCACATCAAAATTAAGGAATTTACTGAGCTTTCAGTGAGCCTCTTGGAGGCTTGGTAGATAATGTATATTAATTACCTGACTTAAAACCAGGCAAACCCTTAACTCCTATTGGCTTAACACAACAGAAGGGTATTTTTGCTACCCTCATAAAGTCAAATGCCAGCATGAACACACGTGCCGTGCCGTCTCTGACCTTGTGCCTGGTTCTGCTGGAGCCCCAGCCTCTGGCTTTCTCTCTTCCTCTGATGTATTTCTGCCTTGCAGCAAAGGTGAGCTGCAATCATTTTCTGATGATGATGATGATGACGACAACGACGACGACGACGACGAGAAAGGCCTTCCTAAACAGAAAGGAAGTAAATTAAAAGATGCTTGTAGATAGCACCATACTAAAATCCTCCAGCCATTGAAAAGCTTATACTGTGGCTCCCTACATGCCATTTCTGACCAAACTTCTACGTCCTCTCTGAACTGTTCTTTTCACTAAAACTGAAATTCACTCAACATGTCATTCTCTCCTAAATCAGCATGATCCAATATGGCAGCCCTAACTATACACAACTCTGGAGCACTTGTAATTTAGTTTGTCTGAATTGAGATGTGCTGTAAGTATAAAATATATGCTGGAGTTTAAAGGCTTAGTATGAAATAAGGAACATAAAATACTTCATTTATAGTTTTTTTGTTTTTTTTTTTTTAATATGTTTTATTGATTTTTTACAGAGAGGAAGGGAGAGGGATAGAGAGTTAGAAATATCGATAAGAGAGAAACATCAATCAGCTCCCTCCTGCACACTCCCCACTGGGGATGTGCTTGCAACCAAGGTACATGCCCTCGACCGGAATCGAACCTGGGACCCTTGCGTCCGCAGGCTGACGCTCTATCCACTGAGCCAAACTGGTTAGGGCTCATTTATAGTTTTTATAATAACATGTTGAAATAACATTTTAGACATGTTGGGTTAAATATCTCATTAAAATTAATTCCACTTTTACATGTTTTTAATGTTGCTGTTAGAAATTTTTAACTTACATGTGACACTTGATTTCTATAGGAGAGGTAGTCTAGTTTTCTCATGTCTTCAGTGTATGTGTGTGTGAATGGAACTGTGTGCCTTCAACTAAATAGTAAGCTCTTTGAGGATAAGAACTACAATATTTTTATATGCCCTGCGGCATTCAGGATTCACAGATTGTATTAAGTTCACGTTTACTAAATTCCTGAGGACCTTCCTACTCATTCTAGCATATCAAACAAGATAAGTGGCAGTGGCTGTGCCTGGGGACCCTCGAGAACGGGGTGGGGGAGGCAGGTCTGAGAGGAGCCTCACCACGGGCTCCATGGTCAAGGTGAGTTTTCCTCAGGAAACAGCTTCCCAGGCACTCAATTCCCACAGACTCAGGACTGTCTGCCAGCTCTGCTAATCATTCACTCCCCCTGGCTTTCTTCTCGGCTACCTGTGGGCAGTGTCCGCTTTGGGGTGGGAGATTCTTATCTTCAAAGCCAAGAGATCAGAGTGTTCATGTTTCAAAGAACATGCAGCGTTGTTTGGTGTGTGGCCAAGGTGGGGGCCTGAGCATCCAGGATGGGCTACTTGTCCTCATCCACGCCACTTGCAACTGCTGGGTCATCCTTACTGGGTTGGTGCTGCTGTTCTCTCTCCTCCTCCGGCCACTGGCAACGAGCTCATGGCTGCCAGGGACAACTGGGGAGACGAGTGTGGGAGCTGGAGTGAGGTCTGCTGCCCCCACCTCACTGGGACCCACAGCCTCAAAGTACCGGAGACAATTAATGACCGAATGCAGCCCCTCTTGGGACCTACAGGCCACATGATCTCTAGCCCAGCCTTGCTGATCCCCGGAGGAGCAATGGACCCTACGCTTCTCCCGGAGCAAATCTAAGAACCAAAGAGAATCCCTGGGGTCCTCTCCTTCCTGACTCATAAAACCTGTCACTTCGAATCAAGCACTGAGCTTTACAGTGTACTCCAAGTATTCTGAAAATTCACCAAATGGGAAAAACCAGTCAGGAAATAAATAAGCTCATGTCTGTGTAACAGTATCCATGCCCTTTTATTTTCACTTTAATAGAAAGTTCAACACTCAATTTTTATTTTTTTCAGTTAAGGAGTATGAAATTCAGTAAATCAAGGGAGAACTGGATTTAGAACCCAGATTTCTGGCTTCCAGTCAATGCATTTTCCCACTTTCTCAGGCTGCCTTCACAGACTGTGTTCCTATACCTCAGCGGTGACAATGGTCACCTTCAGACTGTGGGGCTACAGATGATTTTTTAATGTTCTTCTTTTTGCTTAGATGTTTTTTCTGTGTTTTTTTCCCACAATGACTATACAATGGATAAAAACACCTAAAATTAAAATTTGAAATAAAGCAAAGTCCTTCAGAAAGCAGAATTAAGCTTTGTTTTTCCTACTTGCCTTCACACTCAAATACCCATCCCCACCAAATCTCTGAATAGCAAGAAGCAATCTAAATTACTGCCATCCTCGAGAGCAGAGATAAGTTTTATTTTTCTGGAATTAAGTGGACTTGAGGAAGAGTAGGTATTTGCTGAGGCAGTGCTGTGTGACCTGGGTGTGAATTCCCCTCCTCCCCACCAGGGGCGCTGTCAGCATGCAGGTGCCAACTCTCTGCTCACAGCATTGCTTGTACTTTGAGGGGAGATGATTTTGCAGGAGACCATGATGTTAGCACGGCTTGCTGAGTGATAAACTTCCTTTCCCCTCAGTACCCCCAGAGAAATTCCTATTCCCTGTACTTCCTGTAATACAACCAGAACCATTTGTGGGCCCAGTGCATGCCTCACATTCTCTGTACTTTATTCTCCACTATCCTCTGCCTTATACTCGTCTGGTTGTTACCCAATACCGAGGACACTGTCTTCCAAGGTACATCAGACACTAGTTATGGATAAATGAAGCTGATGGGCTAATTCATATTAAAATACAAAGGGCCAACACCAGCTCATTGGAGTCATTCTTCTCGACAGTATCTGCATTTTAAGGATTATACCCTAAATCCCTTATATCAGTAGGGATGCATCATGGGAGCAGAATGATATGAGATATTGAGGTCTTATAGTTATTAGACCTTAAACATTTGTGGTGAAGAAGTCTTTGGAACTGTTGCCTCTCTGCTGTATGATGGGCCTGAGGTCATTTCAGGTTAGTATGGCAGCAGCCAGAAGAAGTATATGACTTGAAGCTAGGGAAGAGCAGGGACAAACCAAAACCCATGAGGACAAAATGGAGCCTACGTCTGCCTCTCACCACCTCATACTTCAGTGGCAGGTGACCTGCAGAAGAAATTGGTGCCTTTCACACTAAGAGAAGGTAAGGAAGCTACAAACCTGGCTGTTGGCCATGCCAAAGAGGTGAGCCAGGAGATCAGTAACCAAATGCATGAGCTACAGTGGTCCCTGGCACCTACACCTTCAGAGTGTGCTTAGGTTGCTGCCTCGCTCCCACCTTCAGATTCTCAGGTAAATTTCTCTTGTAGCCAGCTCAACCTGGAACCATATAGGAAAGGGAATTCTGGGAAACATAACTCAAGCTTAGGTTTATACACTACAAAACCACCACTATCTCTAAAATCGTATCAAAAGGTAGCTTTTTAGATCCAGTGGAGATGATGAAGTGAGGGTAGGGGTGGGACAAAGATGTGAAGAGGTAAGGGGAGGAGGTGAATGGAGCTTTCTTGGTCATTTTCCAGAATGTGTCTATAAAAGAATAGAAAAGCCAGGTAGACAGTAAGTATGTATTAAATGGTTATCTATCCAAATGTTTATAAATATATGTATCCAGAAAGAAAACCTTACAATTGGACCCAACTTATGTCTGAGAGGTACTGAATGATATTCAAGGGTTTGTGAGTGCCCCGGCTTCCTCTGGATATCATGGTAACCCCTACCCAATCCCTTAGTCCTCCCTCCTTCTGCTCTAAGTGTTGGGCAGCACAAGGGGAAAGAATCCACGGGAGAAAGGGACAAGTGTGACCTGAGGCACCCCAAAGGCCATAGAGGGGAGCCCCTAAAAACACATTCCTCAACTTTCTTCTTTGGCCGAAGCCAGTTCCCAATGTACCAGAATGGAATGGAACAATGACGCTTTACGCCACCAAAGGTGTAGGCTTGATTCAAGAAACATTTCCTCTCTGTAGGGGGGCAGTGGGAGGGGTGAGATGATAAAAGTTGGTGGAAGGCAATTCTTTCCAAAGTCGAGACCTTGGAGTGGCCCCAGAAGGTGTGGACGGGCCCAAGTTTTGTTCTTCTCTCTTCCCTTAAGAAGATTTGTAGGTCAATGGGAACCTTTATCGGTCATGTGTACCCGGGGCTGTTTCTATTTTCATACGGACTGTATCAGGCAATAGTGGTCTCCAAAGCTGTGATATTCAATGACTCTCGCCCGAATCCTTCATGTCCTCCAAGAAATAAGGGAAGATGGGCCAAGCTGTGGGAAATATCCTACCGAGGTTTGTTGAAAATTGTGACCGGCTCCATCTTGATAGCTTATGAGAACAGTTGCATCAAAGGAGGGTTGGTCCTGATGAACAGGGAACTGCCACCAAGATTTATGCTCCCCAAACAGTGGCAGCACCTCACCATGTTCATCCTCCTCGCCCTCAATGGCTGTGTCGATGTCACGAGCAAGAACTTGCTGCCTCAGAGGTGTGTGCTCCTAGAAAAAGGTGCCCTGGTCCTGATCTTCTACGTGCTCCTGATGCTGTTGGTGTCACATGTTCAAGATTCGACAGGGGTGGAGCTGCAGGTTCATTCTCTACTCATCTTGGTGGTGTTCCTGCTCATGCTGGTGTTCACTGTTGAGCTGTGGGCTCCCAACGCATTTCACCTCTCAATGATTGAGACCTTTCTGTTTCTGATGATGGGCTCCTGGCTGATGCAGGCAGGCTTTATTCTGTACAGACCAGTCACCGGCTACCCATGGCAGGATGATGACATCAGTGACATCATGTTTGTCACCACCTTCTTCTGCTGGCATGTGATGATCAATGCTTTGTGCCTGTTAGGAATCTATGGTGTTTTTTCCTTTTGGCATCATTGTTACAGTCCCAGGTCGAAGCTGACAGGATCCAAAAAAGCTCCATATTATGCAAACACTGAAGGACCCGACTACCACTTGCTGCCAGAAGTGGAGCAGTCAGAGAAAGATGACCAGGCTCTTCTCCTCCCAGACAGCTCACCGTGAGATAGGGCCCAGGATACCTGGCACATTGTCCATCCCTTCTTCTTCCTTGTAGGTTCTCTCAGACGTGTGCATTGTGTCCTCTTTGGTCTCCAATGAAGGTAATGGCCATGGAGAGCATTTGGTCTCCGTCTGCTGGTACATCTCCTGAACTTGTAATTGCTGAGGAAATGAGACGGGGCTGAGAAAGGGATGCTGAATAGATTGGTGAGGTGGGGGAAAGAGGACCACGTAAATAGATAAATGTGCAAGAAAAGCCATGGGGATTAAAAATGCAATAAAAGGGAAGCCTTTGAAGGGAAGAGAGGGGAGTCCAGCAGTCATTCCATCTACCAGCTACTTCTCTGGGTACAAGTGATTGCCTTTTACGTGAGGGAGTAATGATTTCTTACAATTCAAAACTGAAATCATTCATGTCTCATCCTGATAAAGAATAGTGGGTATTTCTGTTTGCTCACCAAAATGGCTCTACCACGTGGAGCTGGCATCAACAGAACTGTTGTCTCCTCTCAAAGAAAGCCCTTTAAGGATTGGGTTAATTTCAAATTAATAAAGTGAAACTATACTACTGCTTTAATATAGTAACATTTCAAATTTGTACAACTGAAATTTTTATAGAATCCAAATGTTCAGTGTTTTCCTAACTTCATATTTTATTAGTCCTATTCCAGACAAAGCTTACATAGTTCACCACTACCACCTTAGCACATGTAATTTACTAGATCCTATCCATGCATGTTGGCAAAATTTCAGTCCTTTCTATTTCACAGAAAGCCATCCCGCAATCACATTTTTATCATGTTATCTGGTACCCAGCATAAGACCCACCTTCAGCCTCACACCATGGAGCACCCCCAAGGAGGCCTTCTCCACTATGACTCCTTTGTTCTGGGACTCTTAGACACATTTACTAGACCCACCTTGTTCATTGGCTCATGCAGATGATACACTCTGCTTGCTCTGTTTCTGAGATCGATCCCCTTGGGGAGGCCTTTCCTCACCATCTAGAGTGTAGGCCATATCAAGTTACATACTTTCCTATGTATGAGCCAACTATGTAGCATAGGTGATGCTTAATAAAGGCTTGTTTGCTTTCAAAATCTCTGCCTACACGTTTCTTCTAAAAGCGTTGCCAGACAGGTCGGAAGGTCTGTGAAACTCTGGAAGCCCAAAGCCTAAGTCATCTCCTTAGTCATGTGCCCACTCTCTTCCTCATTCTTGGGATAACAAAATCCACTATTCTGTTTCTGCATTGTTTACTGTGCTAATCTATTCTAATACAAGGGTAATATGCTAATTAGACTGGGTCAACCGGACTTCTTCCGGATGTCTAAGTTCCTTCCAGACAAAGCCATGGTGGCGGGAGCCAAGGCATAGGCAGCTAGGGGGAGGGCAGTTATGGGCCATCAGGCCAGCAGGGGAGCAAGCAGTTAGGGGTGATGAGGCCATGAGGGGGGCAAGCAGTTAGGGGGCGAGATCAGGCTGGCAGGAAAGGGCAGTTGGGGGTGATTAGACCAGCAGGGGAGGGCAGTTGAGAGTGATCAGGCCGGCAGGGGAGGGCAGTTAGGAGTGATCAGGCCGCCCCCAAGGGGTCCTAGATTGGAGAGGGTGAGGCGAGTGGTTAGGAGCCAGTGGGATCAGGCCTAAACCAGCAGTTGGACATCCCCCAAGGGGTCCTAGATTGGAGAGGGTGAAGGCCGGGCTGAGGGATACCGCCCGTCTCCCCCCACATCCCATGCATGAATTTTGTGCACCGGGCCTCTAGTTGTTTTATAATTTCCACAAGCATTTCTACAAGGAACCTCCAAAAAACGCTGAGACTCAACAGGCTGACTTGCCCAAGTCTTACAGCTAGCAAGACAGGAATTCGAGTGTAAGTGTGTCTGACTCAAGCCAATGACTATGTCCTCTGGCTCACTGTGATTTTGCTAATGGCAATGGTGAAGGGAGTGATCCTCCAAATGAAATTGTTGAGAGAGAAAAGAGAAAAAAGAGCAAGCAGCAGTGCAAATATTCTAGACTCCCTTAAATGATGTCTCTTGTCACACTTTCTGTTCATCATCCCCGCCCCCCCCCCAGCCTTGCCCCCTGGGGTGAGAGAGAGAGAGAGAGAATGAATCTAGCTGACTCTCAACTTTTAGATGGGTCTTAAATTTTTGGGCTCAGATCTATGTGAGGGCTGAAGATAAGATTCGTTTGTGATCAAGTTTCCTGATTCTTGCCATTTCTCCTTAACTGTTGGTTCCTAGACTTTTCTCAATGACCTTTTTTAGAGGGGACCTTCTTTCTCTTCATTTCCGGTACGCATTGATGGAGAAGGCGAAACACCACAGTGCTGCTGGCTGCCCATTTCTAGATATCTGGCTTAATTTTATAATCATAAACAAGCCTCTGGTAATCAATTGATACCCACAGGATAATACCTCTTCAATATCCAGTACAGGTAATAAACTTACCTATTATTAATTTACTATATTTGAGATGCAACAGAGAGGCCCTCCCCTTGAAAGCCAGTCAAGAAAACAACTTCCCACTCTTCAACTTGCAGGGAGACATGTAATTCTCACAAAATTCCACCAGGGGGCACTACGTTCACACCACCCCAGTTAAGCCTCTAGCTCTCCAACTTGGTAAACAAGTCTCTCAAGAAAAGGTTTAAAAAGCAGGGGTCGGGAGAGGGAAGGTAGAGGAGATCAGGACAAATACAGAACCCGTCTAAGTATTGCCCAAGCATCCAGAAAACATACCCCAGGGCTATTTGTTTCCCATGGAAATTTGGCATTTGCATGTGCAATACCCAGGGAATCAAATCAATTAAAGGGATGGGGATGGGGGAGAAGGACCTTGGACCCAGTTGAGGATATCTTTGGGAAAAGTACCAACTAAAAAAAGGCACACTCTGATCCTAGTAATGTTTTGACCACAATGCTAAATCTCAACTTTTTCATAAACTTCAACAATGCTCCCATCATTCTAGAGAACAAAGATAGACCCATCCATACATTGAGAATAAGGAACCCATTTTATTGGTAAATATCCCAGATTCACAAAACAGTGAAACTGGGGGCCAATTATTGAATATGAAATATGATCTCCAAAGATCCCTTTAAATGGAACCGTAAAACATTTTTGTTTCTGGTAATCCAGTTGTTCACAAGGAATATATTGAATGCCCACTATATGGAAGGCACTTAAACCCACCGCAGTAGTGTAGCACTTGGACTAGTCCCTGCACTTGGGTAGAGATTTCAGTGTTTTAGAGGTGGTAGTCCAGGAAGGCATTGTCCACAGCCTGACACTGCAGAACAGCGGTTCTCAACCTGTGGGTCACGACCCCTTTGGAGGTCGAACGACCCCTTCACAGGGGTCGCCCAAGACCATCCTGCATATCAGATATTTACATGACGATTCATAACAGTAGCAACATTACAGTTATGAAGTAACAACGAAAATTTTATGGTTGGGTCACAACATGAGGAACTGTATTTAAAGGGCCAGAAG